TGAGAAATAGAGAAAATTTAATGTAATTTCGTAATTCAAATTAACAAAGAAATTGAGTATACAATCTTGATCATCAAGAGCTACACAAACTTTGATAGAATCACAGTTACAGATTTATATGTACATTCCTTAAATTAAAAAGTCCTGTCAAGCATTAGAAAGGCCCGACTCTCTCACTAACTCGTTCCCTAATTTTCTGAAGGCTTCAAAATACACATCTCCCCCTTATTTATTCAATTTGGGACTCAATTGGATGTTATAGGAAATTCTCCAATTACCCATCTTCCTATTGTATTATAATCTCAGCATTATGATCACATATTCAACTTCACGTAAACTTCAAAGTTCAAAAACACCACTGTCAATCCGTCATTACCAAATACCAACCCCAAGATATCACAGATTCACAATTTATTGTACTAGCCTATTAGTAATAATAAAGTGACCAATACAATGAAAAGCCTTTGTTTCTTAATTGTTTAAAACACCACATCGGAACTTACCTCGTCACCGGCAGCGACAAGGACAACGAGGAGATCGGTCGATGTGGACCAAGGAGACGAGAGGTGAGAGAGCTGAGAGAGGAGTGAGGACGGACAGAGGGCTGGAGGCGGAGTCGCTGCTGCGGGAGAGTGCTATCGTCAGCCGTGAGCGTGGTGGCCGTGGCCAGTGGCCGACCGTGTATCGGTGTCGACGGTGAGTGGTGTGGCTGTGAGTCAGACGGGAGAGAGAAGGGAGAGAAAGGGAGAAAAGGCGACTCAGACGAGAGAGAACATTGGTTTGAAATGAATGTCGATTCATTTTCCTTTCATATTAATGAAAAATATAAACTTCAAAATTTAGGGGGGCACCACCCCCCGGTCCGCCCATGGATGACGGTAAATGGCGTGTCCAATCAAATTGCTAGGCCACCCCCAAGTCCGGCCATGGATGACAGTAAATGGCGTGTCCAATCAAATCGCTCTAAATGCCAAGTTAAGTGCCAAATCACTGCCACTTCATCAATTCATTTGCGAAACACGCCTTTCCCGCCCATATGAACACGACATTAACCCAATAGAAAACCCAAAGCCTGAAATAGATTTCTTCCAAATCGAATCCTCTTATCACGCGAAGTTTGAAGTACCTGAACCCTAATCCTCAAATCAAGATCATCCTTAGACCAACCTGCCCATTTCTATCACACGAAGTTTGAAGTCCCCGAACCCTAATCCCCAAATCAAGATCATCCTTAAACCAACCTGCCCATCCGTCAAGGTTGATCATTCTTGATTGTGTGCACGTGAATGGACCAGCTAAAGGTAATTTTGAAACAAGCTGCCTTCATTTTTGTCTCTCTGTTTATGTTCCTTCATTTCCAATAGTTTGATTTATTCCGCTCCCATTGATTGATTTTGGATGTATATAATAATTTGAATTTTTAAGGGCGTAATTTTTTAAATATCAATTCTATTTTTGTTCTCTGTCTCGAATCTCTTGACAATACTAACCGATAGTTGCTGCATTTTATGTCATCAAGGAAAAGTGTCCATGATTCTAATCAGTTCTTTTA